GCAACTGGAGTGCTTTGACATGCTGCCAACAGTCACAGTGATTTAAAGGAATGGTCATGGCACTGCTATAAACCAATAATTTAAAAGAGTTAGAAGCTGCCCTTTTACAACAGGGATATACATATATGGACTTAAGCGTGGGCCTCTGTTATAGAATTCAGCACAAGCATTAATCCATTTATGGTGGGGAATTTTCAGTTTTCAGCCAGCTCTAACCCAATCAGAAATTCTCCGGACAGATGTATGCTATATTCAAGTAACACTTTTCTTGTAAAATGTAATTCTTTTATTGGAAGGATTTATCAAGGATAAGACAAACAAATAATTCTATTACTTATATGATAAATGACCTGTGCTTCCAATGATATGAAATAATTGGCTATAAACTCTTTGATATCTTAGGTTTCTGTCTTGCATTTCATGAATATTTGTTACCTCTAAATATTACTTAAAAGTGTGCCCAGAAGATAGTAGCTCATATGTGATAAGTATCAGGTCTCCTCAACCTTTTATTTTTCTCTGGTCTTGTAATTACTAGTGCACTGAAAAAAAAGGAGAGCTCACAGTTAAAATATTATTGTCCACCAAAATGTCTATGCCGCAAAAGTGCCACATGTAGGGTGGATAGTCTGGTGCAGTCCACAGTTCACTGGGCAGGAGAGTGTAAAGATGGTTCTGAGTTTCTGTTCTATCCTGTAGAAAGGTGGTGATAAGGAAGGTTTTGGCAAGCTTTGGGTCCAAATTCCAGCTCTGCCATCGATAAGCCTTGCTTAGTAAGTTATTTAACTTTCTTAGTCTTTGATTTCTTGTATATAAAACAGGAATACTACCAGTTATCTCAAAAGGTATTATGAGGATTAGGTGCAATCAGGTAAACAAAGAGATAAGCAGAGTTTTAAGACGTCCCATAACACCCCTGGTGTTATTCCTATTATTACGTTACTTTATATGGAAAAGGGGAGATTATCCAGGTGTGCCTAATCTAATCACAAGAGCCCTTAAAAAATACTAAGTTTTCTCTGGCTGGGAGCATGAGAGGAATTCAGAGAGATCGAAGGTGCAGAAAGGATTCTAAGCAATGTTGTTGGCTTACAAGATGGAGGTTGCCAAGTGCTAAGGAATGTGAGTGGCTTCTAGAAGCTGAGAGCAGCCACTGGATGACAGCCAGCAAGGAAACAGGGACCTCAGGCCTACAACCACAAGGAAATGAATTCGACCAACCTGAGGAATGAGCCTGGAGGCAGATTCTGGCCCCAGAGTTTCCAGATTAGAGCTCAATGCTCTGATTTCAGCCTTTTGGGACCCTAAGCACAGACTCCAACTAAGCTGCCTAGACTTCTGATCTAAAGCATAAATGGATATTGAGTTAATTAACAGGTGTTATTTTAGCCTGCTAAATTTGTAGCAATTTGTTATGCAGCAACAGAAAACTATTACAAGTGTTTATTGGTGTGTGACACAGAAGATGTTCATGTATTATATTTCTTATTAATAACTAATAGGCTCAAGCAAGTCATTTTTAACTCCCTTGGGTTTTAGTTCTTTGATCTGTAAAATGAGGTTTGGCTAGCTAAGTTACAAGTCCCACTCTAAACTTCCATACATCTAACAGTTCATTTTCAGCTTTTTACAACTTTCGAGACACACCTTGAATAGACAGTCATGCCTGTTGGATCTCTTCCACTGGCTCTCTAGATCCATTCTGCACAGTACCCTGTGTTGTGCCCTAGGAGGCTGACCCCTAAGGACTGCAGCAGTGTGTTACCTTGTCCCCAGCAATGGAAAGCACCAGCAGGAAGGCCAAGTGATGAAGAAAATGAGGTCTGAGTATTTATTTCCTGGCTTCCTACAAGTGTACAAGGTGCTAAGGGGGGGGAATGATTTACTTTACTTGAGAGTGTGCGGAAGCAGGGAAAGA